ATATATTTGATGGACTTCTATGACCCTTACACTCACAATTTGCGTCTTTTGCAGCACCTCATGTATCTAAACCACGTTGTCATGTTTATATGATGTAACTTGTATACATAATGCTTCTCATCAATGTCAGTTACACAGCAGTGGGCCAATCAGAAGAGCTAAGGTAAGGTAAGCATTACGAGCTTCTGTTTACAGAAGCAAGTTGACATAACATCTGTTTTATTTGATGTTAACAAGGCGGAGGATGTGTTTTTAAAATAACATTCCTAAATGCTGTGTTCTGTGTGAATGGGCCCTTTCAGTGTTTTTATTTTTCATAGTAATTCAATGCAATCTCACAGCAATTCGTAACTTTTTGATTTAGTGGCAAATTCTTATTAATTTGTAAGATTGTATTTTTTTTTGTTTATTTTAGTAAAATTTACTGATCCCCCAAAGAGGCGTAGATAAGGAGTGGGGTTTTGTTAGCAAAAAATTAAATCGTAAGAATTTGTATGAATTATTCCAACAATACCTAAAATAGTTACGTCTCCTCATGAGATCGGGGTGATAAATTAAATAAAACAGTCAAAGAATGGGATATTCAGTGACCTACACTGTAAAAAAAATGCAGGGTTCCACACAAAACATGTTGTCTCAACACAAATTGATTAACTTACATTTAAGGCCCCATTTACACTAATGCATTTCAGTTTGAATATGCATAAGTTTTGCTACGGTTACTCCATCCATCCACACTACGCCGGAGTTTTCGAGCGCCAAAAACGAATCGTTTTGGAAACGCTGGAGAGGCCGTTTTCATTCTAAAACGTTGCTGCTCTGTCTCACTGTAGATGGAGGAAAAGGGAGACATCTGAAAATGGAGGCGGGGCTGATTGGGGCTTTTCCTCAATATTGTATAGCCTACACACAGTAAAGTCCTGCATCCTCTCATTGTAAGTTCAGACTTTGCAAGTTTTATATGGAAAACAGACTACCGAGGGCATGTCGGTGAATCTTTAAAGGGAACCGTGTACTTTATAACGTTATTCACATCAACCTGGCTACGCTGTTTCACTTTCTTAACAATAAAATAAAAACATGATATAAGGAACTGCCTATTTTCATTTTGATATTAGCAACTTAACAAATAGCAGAAATATTGAGGCATTGTGCTGCATATATGAGCGTCATCTTCACTGTGTGCATATTTGTAACAAAACGGAGCCTATTACATCACTGCCTCCTTTTATTTTCATTGAAAATACAAAGCATACCTCTCTTTTGCTAAATATCAGTTTTAATAATCAATAATGGCCATTATAAAAGTTTAATGTACATTATGTTTATACATTATAGGAAATAAAGGCAAGCGATAAGTCAATATACAGAATGTACGTGGTTACATTAAATACTAACTCATCTTTGCGCTCAACTAAAACACGTTACCTGAGAACGAGTATTAGATTCAAAAAACCAAAGTGGGGTAATATGTCGTTAGATATAGACAGCAAGATAAATTAAATATTACATTTAGCAAATATAGTGAGATTAGATCCAGCGGTAGATCCTTGATGAACACTCCGATAAGCACAGCTCTTATCTAGCTAGATAGGCTGCAGCGCATGCCAGTGTGTGTGTGGTCACGTGATGTGCGTTTTTCAGTGGTTTGGTGTAAACAGAGAGTTGTTCAGAAACGCTGGGTAAACCGCTAGTGTGGACGCGGATCGTTTTCATTCTATAATGCCGTTTTAAATCTAAAATGCACTAGTGTAAACGGTGCGTAAGTGGATTGAACATAAAACAACCAAGATGTCCCAAAAAACCTAGAGAATTGTGTTGTTTAGCTCATTTTAAACTATTTAGGTAAGTATTTTTTCTATTTGGATTACCTGTGCCTTCATATAACACTCAACTAAAGTGAGTCTTCAAAAGCATTAATAATTTGGAATGAAAATTAAATTAGCATCTTAGTGTCACATTTACATAAACACTGGAGAGGAAGTCCCGGAAAACTGTCAATCACCAAAATATGGTCTGACTTTAAGAACAAAACAAGGACGGTGTATCACTTCATGTGTGAAAATGAGTCACGGGTCACTGCGAGACCCCATAAACACATGTCATGTGATTGCGTGCATTACAGTCAGCATGTTTTCCCACACACATCTACACAGGAGACGCCTGGGAGTTGACCAATGAAAATAAGAAGATGCCGAGGCAGGAGAAGCCAGCGCCAGGGGAATTCAGGGAGTGAATCGGGAGTGTTTGGAAGCAGTTTAAACGAGTTTTAAAGAGTAGTACTATGAGCCAATAGCTTTAGCATTTACATCTTTGGAAAAGAGTAACTACAATACAGTTTTCAAAGGTTCAACTGGTACGCAAAGCAACATAAAGGTCAATCTTAAGTGCACACTGACTGAAGCACTTTGTGGAGTGGATCTCATCGAAATCTTTAAGTAAAGCATGATCCTACACTATGCTTAAAACTCAAAATATCAACCTTTTTTAACTAGAAAAAGGTCACAGGTAAATTTATTTCTTGTAAATTTATGTAAAAGTAAAAAAAAAAAAAAAAACAGGAAAACGGCTCATTAGGTTTACTAGGGGATTTTATCTAGTTCCATGCATGTGAATCCATTCATTAAAACCACACACAGTTATGTGAATTATTAACAGCAGTAAAACACTGATGAGAAAACAGCAGTTTCCTCGAGGCACTAAACCAGACTGAATTTCAGAAATAGTTATCAAAGTGAACGCCTGACATTATCAAAAACAACGCTAAAAAGAAATCTGCAGGTTTTCGCTGATTTTTACATTTACATTTAATCTGTTTTTAAATTAATAACAGTAATAATAAAGACAAATATAAAAATGTTCATATGATATATTATATAAGACTTTCTTTGTTGACCAAATTACTGGATGTAGTTGGATTTGCATTCTAAACATTAAAAAAAAAAAGTTAAAAAGAGTAAGAGTAAAACAAAAAGAAATTCTAACGGAAGCTACTTTGTGCCACAAAATAAAAAAAAATTGTTTTTTTCTCACAGATTTGAAGCCTTTATGCAATTGCAAGCTTATATCTCACAATTATATCTCATAATTTTTCTTATCATAATTGATAGTTTATTACAAATTTATACTATAATACCACAATATTAAGTCATAACCTCACAAATGGCAGTTATGACTTTTTCCCCCCTCAAGATTCTGAGTTTATTATGAAATACACTCAATAGCCACTTTATTACTTTAGTACTTTATGTACTCCTTCATAGTACCGGGTTGGACCCCCTTTTACCTTCAGAACTGCCTTAATACTTTGTGGCATGCATTCAACAGGATATTGGGAATATCCCTGAGATTTTAGTCCATATTGACATGATAGCATCACGCAGTTGCTGTAGATTTGTTGGCTGCACATTTATGATGCGAATCTCTTGTTGCGTTGCACCACCACCAACAGCCTGAACCATTGATACAAGGAAGGATGGATCCATGCTTTCCTGTTGTTGACGCCAAATTCTGACCCTTCTGCATTTCTTGGTTGTAACAAGAGCTTATTTGAGTTACTATTGCTTTTCTATCAGCTCAAACCAGTCTGACCATTCTCTTCTGACGTCTGGCATCAACAAGGCATTTGCGCCCACAGAACTGCCGCTCACTGGGTATTTTTTCTTTTTGGACCATTCTCTGTAAACCCTAGCAATGGTTGTGCGTGAAAATCCCAGTAGATCAGCAGTTTCTGAAATACTCAGACCAGCCAGTCTGGCACCAACAACCATGCACATTCAAAGTCACTTAAATCACCTTTCTTTCCCCCATTCTGATGCTCGGTTTGAACTGCAGCAGATCGTCTTGACCATGTCTACATGCCTAAATACATTGAGATGGTGCCATGTGATTGGCTGATTAGAAATTTGCGCTGACAATAAGTTAGACAGGTGTACCTAATAAAGTGAGAATTACAAGACATTCAAATAGTCACTATTGTGAGATGCAAAAATACATATTTGTGAGATAGTAGAGATGTATAACTTAATTTACTGTATAAACTAAAAATAGTGAAACATAAATAAAAGAAAACAGCCTAAACTTGCAACTACAACAAGGAAAATTGCAAAAAAAACTGCAAAAATATATATAATTACTTAATAAAAACTCAGATTTGCAAGATATTAGAATTGCAAGACAAAAATCTGCAAAAAAGAGGCAGAACTGCATAAAAAGGAGAGTTTTTTAAGATAAAAGGCTGTAAATAGTCTATCTCTCCATTCCTAAAACAGGCTTGGATGATTCTTAGATCAATAACCTTATTATAAATGTGTGACATCCAAATTAGATTTTTTTTATTCATATGCATTATTTATGACTTTTTCAACCAATTAAATTCGTATTATACTTTCCCCCCTATGATATACTAACCGATTATACACCAGTGGATTACACTAGCTGGGGTTTGAGTATTATAATCATTCAAAACAAAAACAACTTCTATATGCATTATGGTTCCTATTCAAATAATTTAGGACAACAAAACATCATAATGATGCCATCTTTCAGTCATTATAAGAATGTCAACCTTCATGCAGAATGCTTTAATTCATTCAGCTGAGTACATGCAAAAGTCATTGATCCTCACCATATGCCATGCAACCCTTTACCCCAATTCTCACCTCAAGCCCCCCTCATCCATCTGTCATCAGCTCAGAGTCCCTGCTATGCTGAAGGCTAACTAGCTGATGCTGACTTTAACCTGACATTTCACAACATCCACCTGACGACATCCATACTAATCTGCATTTATTGTAAATACACACTCCCTCGGTCTCCACACGAGCCATAATAAGCAAACGCTCGCGTGACAAATAATCACGCATCAGGTCCCACATCCATGCTAGTTTTGCTAGCTCTATCCATGTGCATCCCAACACATATGAATCACTCAGATATGATTGGATGAATAAATGTGTCCATTAAGCCGTATTTTGAATCAGAACGAATCGGTTAGTTACCCGCATCCACGTCGTCCGCCGACCCCGCGTCCTCGGATGCTGTTGCCCCGGATAACGGACTCCCATCCCCGGCCTCGGACAGACTGGCCGCCCCTTCAGCCGCCGCGGCTTCCATTCAACCTCCCTGGATGAATCCTCCGAGCTAAAGAGGGTAAATAATTTCTAAATAAACACAGCCTTCGCTCGCTGTCTGTATGGATATGACTGAAATGAATGCGGGAGGTTGAGGAGCGTCGCGGTCCTCCTGCTCTCCTCAGCTGTCATGCACTGGCTTTGGGATGATGTGCGATTCACGACTCTGGTTCGTTTGAACAGGTGGATTGGTTCAGTAGTTCAGTTGAACCGACTCGCACACTTGCATGTTATTTTGAACTGTTTAGCTTTTTAAATAGTAAATATAACGAAATTTGGATAAACATTCGGATATATTAAGAGTTTTACAGCGATACGTGTAGTAATGTGGTCAATTTTGGCGTAGATAAAACATTTGTTTTGGAAGAGAAATGGACACGATTGTCAAGTTGAAGGAATTGAGAATGATAAACAGCAGACATGTTAATTTTGGTTAATTATAAAGTGCACTGAGTATAAGGAAACCAGCCTAAATATATTTTAAGTGTTTCTAATGTCATATTTTATCAATTTGTGACACACTACGCATGTTTTTAAGTGAATTATTTTTTTATTTATGATTTAATTAACATTTTTCCATTTTACAAACATATCAAACAACCCTTACAGAAATAATAATAGAAAAAAATATATAAACATAAATACAAATAACATATTGATAAAAAAGTGAATAAATAAATTAAAATAAAAAAGAAGATAATAATAAAATAAAATAAAATTAACAATTAATGCGAGGCAGATGTCTACATTTATACAGTAATCTCAAATGTTACATTTCGAGTGATGAAAGATTACGTTTTTAAGTGAATTAGCATTATTTTTTGTCCTGCACTGAGTCAATGCCTGCTTCAGTTGCACTTTGAGACACCAAACTTCAGATTTGATAATATATGTATTCTCACGGTTTTTTAGAGGTTAATAAGTAATTTGCCTAATTATAACTATATTACATTTGTAAAAATTTAGTGACAAATGCCAAGACATTTTCTTAATTAAGGATACGACACGTCGATGACTATCAAAAAAAATGAATTGTTTTGATTCACTAACGCGAACCAATTGAATCGATTCATAAAAACAAATCGCACTTCCAAACGAGCGCACTAATCTGCTTGGATGAGGCGCCTGCTGCTCTCTGTTGGTGAATATTCAGTAATGCAGGTGAGAAAAAAAAGCTTAACTCGGATATACTATATCAGGGGTGATCAAAGTTTTTCTTATGAAGGGCCAAAAAGCAAACTTGATTGAGGGTGGTGGGCTGAAGGTAAAAACACCAAACTGTATTACGTTAAAGTTGCCATGGGTAATTTCCTCATTTATATAATAATCTAAAAAAATAACTAGAAAACGTTGCTTTATATTAACTAATACAGTACTTTTTTTTTTTTACATTTGATAACAAACTTATTATATTAAAAACAAAAACAATCCCATTTATAACAGAATGGAGTTCCTCGCCTAGGTTTTCTGCATTGTCTTCTGTCCATCGAGTGATAGTAAGTACATTTTAGAAAATCAGATTCATTTATGGATACATTTAATTGAAACATTTAGCTAGCAATCAGTTTATTTTTTGTAGCTAAGCAATTAAACAAACAAACAAACAAACAAACAAAAAGGTTGTATGAAATTAAAAATGACAATCTCTGTTTAAGGCATTTGCCCCTCCCCTCCCCATCACTCTCTTCTCTGATGGGATGGTGGGCCAACTTTGGCCTGCGTTTGGTAATCTCTGAGCTATTTCATCATTAAATGTGTTAAATTATTAAATATATCTCAATATTATTAAAGTAAAATCTAATATAATCCTAAAATCTAATCTAATGTATAATATTTTATTAATGTTCAGTTAATTCTGATGTTCATGAAATAATCTGGGTAATATACTGTACAGTGGTGTAAAGTAACTAATTACAAATACTTAAACTACTGTAATTAAGTAGTTTTTATCAGAAATTGTGGTAGTTTAATTTTTTTTTTACTTTTAGTGTAGTATCGGTACTTTTACTCCACTACTTCATAATGCATCATAATGAACTACCTCAAGACATGGGCGATTTGTAATTGCAGCAAACTGATTGGAAGTTGTCCAAAATCTTTACACACATTAACCGAGAGACTGTTTAGATGCATGTCACTGATAAGAAGATGTTTACAATGACCGAAATCCCCTAAACACCCAGCAGGCACAGGACATCAACATGATGTTAGATTGATGTTGTACCCCAATGTTGTGGAGACACTGCATTTTGTTTAAAAATGAAAATCAGGTTGACGTCAGAACTCAACGCCAGGTTAACATCAATGTCCAACATCCAATCAAAAATCAACAAAATATCAATGTCTAATGATGTTACAGCTTGATGTTGTGTGGACGTTACCAATATGACGTCTGCCAGACATTGAATTTCGGTTGCCATACCTGACGAATAAATGTCAGTATTTAACGTCAATGTGATGTTGGTTTAAGATATTGGTTCGACGTTTTGGTCACTTTTCAACACAACCCAAAATCAACCAAATATTAACGTCATTTCACGTTGTTATTGAACGTCAATATAACGTTGTCCTTAGACGCTGACTAGACATTGAATTTTGGTCACCTGACATCACAACCTATATTTAACCTAATATTCACGTCTTATGACGTTGTGTGCCTGCTGGGCAATAGCTAAATGCACTACAGAATGTTACGTTTACACACATGTAGATTAGATGTAAATGCATCATCTTTTTACTGTGCAATACTCACTACTTTTGAAGTACTTTTGAAAGGGCTACTTTTTACTCATACTTTGAGTAATATTTACAACAGATTCTACTTGCACTACATTTTTAGGCAAGTAATGGTACTTGATTGGTCACTTGAGTATGATTTTTCAGTATTCTTTCCATCACTGATACTGTATATAGAATAGGCATGGGCAGGTATAAGATTCTGACGGTATGATAACCATGCATAAAAATATCACGGTTTCACAGTATTGTGGTTACTGCTCTAAAATATGTGCTTTTTAAATGTCTTGGTAAAAAACTAAAACTTTTTCCTCTTTGAACACAACATATTTTATGATAAGAAACATTTAAAATATTTTGGAACAGTAGCTAAAGATATCAGGCTAAATAATTTAGACTTCTGCTGTCTTTGTTTGTTTAAAAAACACTTATTTCTTTACTATTTAAAATGGCATCTTTGGATATATCGTCTCTGCTGGAGATACTGTTGTCCTAAAAACATTTTTTAAAAATCTTACATATTCCATAATTATATATAATATGTATATATGTAATCAACCAAATATTAACGTAATTTCACGTCGTTATCGGACGTCAAAATAACATTGACCTTAGATGCTGGCTATATAAAATACTTCAAGCTTACTGCAGGATTTTTATAGTTGACTCAAACCGAAAATTAAAAAAGCTAACTTTAAATAAACAATTACAAAATATTTACATACATATACTCACATTTCAACATTCCCATTTCTAATTTTCGTTCTGTTTAACTTATTAAAATAACTAGAACAGACATAAAAAATAAAACTTAATAAAAAGGATCAATAAAATTACTAAAACTTTAACAAACTACTTAATAAAACAAATACAAATTAAATAAAAAAACACTATAAAACTCAACAATACCTTGGCTTACAGGAAGAAAACAAACACCAAACGTACTGTTCAGCAGAATCTCTTTGCATTTATTAATAAATGTACACTACATCAGCATGTTTAGTGCTAATAAAAAGCATGTCTCTTCATCTGTCCTCTCTGCGGACTGACGCTGAGCACTCGTGATGCCCTCAGGAGGAGGTGCACGCCAAACACATCAGGTCTGTTCTTTCCTCAACAAGGGGTTTCCAAACAAACCTTCATCAGTCCATGAGCGGCATCACTCACACCCAGCGCTCAGACGCTAGTTCAGCTCATCCAGCACATTAGAGATATTTAGAAAGATCCTTCTCCACCACCTGAAATTATATTTAAAGACAGTTACTTACATGATGATATAGTTCATGACTTTAAACAGATGTAGATATAATTAAAGATGAGAAGAGAATGAGAAGCGTACACTTGGATCCTGCAGTGGGGAGTATCTCTTCACAACCTGGCCTTCACGGTTAATAAGGAACTGACATTTAGACAAAAAGGAAAATGATTAATTAATTATAATGAATAGTAATCATTTATTTGGATTTATTAATTTATTTTAATAAATTTAAAACAGTAATTTGTCTATAAAAGAAATGTACAAACCTTTGTGAAATTCCATTTGATGCCACTGTAACAACAAAAAAAGTCAGCCTTGTTGAATTTACAATTTTTAATCCTAATTTTAATTTGTGATAATTTGCTTAAATCATAATTCTAACCCCCGGTTTCACAAACAAGGTTTAAGGCTAGTCAAGATTAAATTGCATGTTTGAGCTGTCTCAACTCAAAATAACTTGTAGAGAGATGTCTTAAATATGTCAGTGTCATTTTTTTGTTTTCCAGGTGCACATCAGTAATATTTTTCTAAGGCCATTTTTATAAATGTGTCTTAAATAGCCTAATTTAACTAAGGCCTAGTCCTGGCTTAACCTAAGCCCTGTTTGTGAAACTGGGCCTAAGTGTTCATCTGAAATAAATGTGTCTTGATTTTCATAATTATGACAATTATATTTTATTTTAAGGGCACCTATGATGAAAGCTTTTGTAAGCTGTTTGGACAGAACTGTGTGTCGGTATAGTGTGTCCACTGTCATATTAAAGTGATAGAAACGTTGTGATAGAAAAAGTCTCTTTTTGAAAATGTCCTGACTTTAAAATAGGACCCAAATCCCAGTGATTTTGAGGCCCACCACAACGTGACATAAGAGTGAGGTTTTCCCCGCCCACTGAATAGATTAACAGATGCCATGTTTCTATAAAACACACACTATTGTAAAGTATGTAAAGTATGTTTCTATTGCACACACATCTCCACAAAACTTTTTTTTTTTTTGCAAATAAAATGGGATTCAAATATTTGTTACAACTCTCTGTGGTTTTCGTAAGTTTTATAAGAGTGTAACGTTTTAAAACAGGCAGGGAGCAGCAACTCATTTTCATTGAAAGCAAAAGGCTACGAAATCAGCTACACTGTACTCAGACACTGATGGGTGTTTTGAGCTGAAACTTTACAGACACATTCTGGAGAAACCAAGGGCTTATCTTACATCTTGTTAAAAAAAGGTTTAAAAAAAGGTGCCCTTTAATTGTCATTTATGTTAAACTGTCATTTATCTCTATGATTATGTCATAAATGACTAAGTATGTCAAAATTTCAATGTTATATATCATTAATAAAAATAAAGATATTCAAATATCTTATTTTCCATTTAACAGAAGAAAAAACAATCAAAGTTATTTGTATTATTGTCATCTCTTTTTCTAATAATTTCAGCATTTTATGTTGTAAATAAGACAATTCTTCAAAATATCTTCTGTAAATATCTAATGTTTAACTTTTTCTTAAAGCTAGTGTTTTATCTCAAATAATATTTTCTAAATTTGTCAAAATTTACTTTTATGTTGTAAATATAAAAACATACTTTAAAATATATAAAAATTCCAAAACTATATAATAGTACTAAACATAAAAAAAAATACCAAATAGAAAAGCCAATCTAGCAACTCACTTTCCAAGGAATCCTTTTCCATTAGGCTGATCCTTCAGCCACTTCCAGAGCGGATGAGCCCCGTCGCCATTCACATCAATCTTGCTGAACATGTCAAACTCTGCATTGTATGACTTGGCGAATTCCTTGATTTGGGAATTAGTTCCTGGTTCCTGAATAAAAAAAAATATTAGATAATAATAGGATGTATTAACTTTAAAAACATTAAATAAATGCACTTTTGTTTGGAAATAGACTCATTTTACAACTCCTCTACAGTTAAACAAACTATTCAGCCGATCTCTGTGTCTGGTAGAAGCACTTTTAGCTTAGCATTAAATCAGATTAAACCATTAGCATCTCATTCAAAAAAAAGTTTAAAGGAGTTTTGATAATTTTTCTATTTAAAGCAACTTTTAATATTCCATCAACAAAAGATTAAAGCAGAAAATAGAAAAATTATCAAAACTTAAAAAAAAATGTTTAAGTGAGATGCAAATGGTCTAATTCGATTTAATGATTTATGCTAAGCTGAGCTAAAAATGCTCCCGCCAGACATGTAAATTGGCTGAATGGATTCAAAAATGGTAAAACTCAGCACTTTAACTTTAGATGATTTGTAAAATGAGCCTATTTACAAAAATAGTTGAGCATTTTTGATGTCCATACCTGACGTCCGAACTGGTTGGAAGGGAAAGCCAGGATGCGTAAACCTCTCTCAGAGTACTTGGCGTGCATCTCTGCAAACTGAGAGTAGTTTACTGGGGTTTTACCTCATTTGGAGGCAACGTTTGTGATGATCACAACTTTTCCCCTGAAGTATGTAAATATGAAAGTAAATTAGTGTCACAAAGTCATTGGAGCAAGAAATAATATGCCAAAAGGTTTAAAATACTGTAACATTGTGATGATTAAGTTGTTTCTAACACAACAATTTGGTTTTAGCTGCTAGAAGATGCAAACTATGTGTACAAAAATTGGTGCAAAATATAAAACATGCTTGATATCCTCCAATTTAATAGTCTGAAGTAAAGAAAAAAAAGAATCATACACTACTCAACTCTCTGTGAAATCTACAGAAGTCTCATGTAAAAACAAAAACTTTAAACCGTTGACCATGAATATGACTTTTATGGGGTGGTGAGTTATAAATTTGAGATAAAACAATTACAAAAGAAGATTTACATACTACATCAGACATAAAAAGATAACCATAATTTGGGAAAAACATGAAATGATGGCTATGACTGTGAAATGATGACTGTGACATGTAATAACTATGACATAACAAGCTTAAATTATTAGATAAAACCATACATATGACAGAAACATTTGGAATAGACATAGTAGAAGAGGAGAAAGAAAGCCAGAGGAGAAATGGTTGTGCCCAGCCAAAGAGCATGGAATCACCAAGAGGCGACAATCTAGTGCAATTTGGGAAACAGCCACTAGATGGTGCATTTTAGAATGAAAATTCCAATAGAACATCAGCATATTGTAAGTCTGTAAAATAAACTATTAAAAGTGCTGATGATTGTAATAGTAAGTGTTGTATTGTCATCTTTTAGTTTGTTTCTCAGCTTTAATGTGCTTTTTAAATACATAAATAAAAAACAAAGCAGCTGCTTCCCATCGCAACAGCAAAAAGATCTAATGGACAGCCGATCGCTTTCATTCCAAAATGGCGGAATCCAGGGCTGTTGCTGGGTGCTGCTGTTGCAATGGAACGTTCTATTGAGTGTCACTTCTTGGTCATTCTAAGCTCTTTGGCCCAGCTGAGCCTGGTTTCTCTCAAGGTTTTTTTCCTTCACTTTTATCAATTGGTAAAGTTTTGTTCCTCGCCACTGGCGCCACTGGCTTGCTTGGTTTGGGACTTGTGTAGCTGCACATCGATGGATTCGCTCTTCAGTGTTTGGACTTTCAGCAGTGAAATTTAACTACACTGAACTGAACTAAACTAAACTTCAACTCTGGAAACTAGACTGACACAGTTTCAATTTACTAAAACGTCTATGTTAAGCTGGTTTGATACAATCTACATTGTAAAAGCGCTATAGAAATGAAAAGTAATTGAATTGAATAGAAGAAAATCAGACAAAAAGGTAAATAACAAAATAAAAATGTATTTAAAAATCTTTTTTAAAGTCATAAAAATGAGTCAATGTGAAATAATTAGATCAATCATTTTGACAAGTGTCATATGCCATAAGTACTCATATCTCATAGTCATGACCTCACATTTGATTTTTGATTTCTTAGCAGTTTTACAATAAAGTATTACAATTTAAAAAGTTGAAATTATGAAAACTATATGACAAGAAACATTTGGCAAAGATGAAAACCAGTCATAAATATGAGGTAATCATGTAATTATTTGATCAATATTCTGTAATATTTTGGCTCCTTTTTTGTCTTTCTGTCTCATAATTATGACTTGTATATCTTATGTTTGACTATCTTTTTGCATGTCATAATTATAACTTGTTTAATAACATTTTTTATATCACAATCCTGACATTTAACTCATAATTATGTCTTATGTTTACCATGACTTCAGCTTATTGGTATGTCATGGTTTACATTCAGTCATAATCTGTAATTTTTTTTACTCTTTGTAACAACTGTGTCTTTTTATCTCCTAGTTATGAATGATTCTGAATTACAGGTATGAAATCATTATAGTGTAAATAGACTTCCACACAAATCTATAAACCCTCAAAAGATCTGCAGACTGTAATGTTTCATTTCGTCCATAAACAAACATCCTTCATTCTTTGAGATGAAAATAAACAGCAGCTCTACTTCTGCCATGCTCATTTTGAGCCCTCACCTGTACTTTTCCAGGGAAACTTCATTTCCATCTATATCTGTGGCTGTGAATTCATAAATGGATTTGGCCGTCTGCCAGTCCTCTAGCTGTGCAGACTGAGAACAGAAACACCACAACATAATAGGATAAACAAAAACACTTTTCATCACAAACATTACACAAAAACATGCTAACTAAAAACCTGCTAATGCTATATTCACATTTAACCAAAGAACATATCTTATCATAGCTAACATGCTAATTCCTGCTACACTGAAAAGCAAAACAATCCTGGTAGCCTAATTTTTTTTAGGTAACCTAATTAACCTTATGAGTCACATTAACTTGAATTACATTAAATCTGACTTAAACGGCTTGTATATCAAACAAAAAGGTTATAATTTACATAAAAACACACGTGGTCATGACTTACTGATCATATCAGCATGGGAACATACTAATTCATGCTATAAACATGTTAGAAACATGCCAATTATTGCTAAAAACATGCGAATATATGCTAGACAACGAAGTCCAATGTGCTAGCCTTGCTAGAAACATGCTAATTGAGTATGGTAATTTACTAGAAACATGCTATCAACAAACTTTACTTAACTAGTTCTAACTTACATTACATTAAACTAACATGAAAGGTTTGTGTGACTTCAAAAATGTAAGTTGAACCATGGTTAACTTATTTTAGCAAACTAAATTAACATTAAGAACATTAGCTGTCATGACTAATCATTTGTTTACAGAGTGCTAATCCAGCGTGTGTGTTCAAGTAATGAGAATATCTCACCATAGTCTGCAACACTAGAGAGAAAACGACAGCAGACCCTAAGAAACGCATGACTGCCTTTCAGTATTTACTACTGAAACAGCAGACAGCGAATTACATTAAATCCTCAATGTCCCTGAACTCCCACAACACTGCACACTCCTCATATATATAATGCTTGAAGTAAACATTAACTTGACCCAGAGGCGGTTTTATTCCCTATAGGTTGAAGTTCTGCCGACTAAAGGGCTATGTGTTGAGTGTTTGACTGTAAACTGTGATGATAATGGGAGGATTTGAGAGTAAAGGTCAGTGGATGACGATCTTGCACAACTGAAAGAGCTGATAGCTTGATATGATGCCATTCGCTTTGCATATTAGATAAGCTGTGGTGTGTGTTTGGTAATGCTACAATGGCAAACACTGGATCTGTTTGACTTGGATACTGGCTTCAGGGAGGGATTCGTGCCACAAGGATATTATGAAATGGAAAAAGTGGGATATTGATTAATTTAAAAAGACTGACTTTAAAATTTGACATTAATTGTAACATTAGTTATGAATATATTAAAACTGTGAAACTATGACATTATGTCGTAAGTCAGGACATTGAGTCTTAATCATGAGGTTGATGTTATGAGATACTGTCATATTTCTAAAATTTTAAGTGATAAATTTGACTCATAGTTTGGCATTTTGGCACAATTATTGTGACATTATTATTGTGAAAATATTGTGACTATTAGTATGCATGTATAATATGTAGTGTTTTTAGTATGTAGTATGTTTTCTGTCACAGTTGAATGTCAAAATTTTGACTAATAATAATGATCGTTATCATATAAACTCATTTGTATCTTTTGTAATAAAAATGTATTGCTTTTTCGTCATAATTTGAATTTTTAATGTATGTTACTCACAATTATGACTTGTTATATCACCATTTTCACTTAAGTCATATATGTTTTGTTTTAGATCAAAACTGTTAATTATTGTCACTATTACCTCTTATACATCTTTGTTATATCTTTAACCTAAAATTTTCACAATTATGACCTGGTATTTCACTGTTTTGACTCATTTCATATTTGTGTCTTTTTAATATAACAACTCAACTTTATATTTTTGTCTTTTTTTGTCATAATTGTGTCTTTGGCATTTGGTCATTGCATTTTGGAAACAAACCTAGATTATATAATGTTTTTGTTAGAACTAGAAGTATGTGTTTAATTGTCTTTTAAATACCAAAATACAAATTTTTACAATTCCTTTTTATGGTGCTTTAAATAAAATAATGTATGTTAATCAAATATATTTCAAATAGAAAAAAACATCATCTATTAGGAAGCAGATTTTTGGAACCTGTTTTTTTTTAATAATGCAGCCTAGATAATTCGTTAATTTATTCATTAATTAATTAGACAAAACAACTATTATTATGGAATTATTATTTTACTATTGTTGTTGTTGCGCTTGCGCATTGTTTATATAACGGAAAAAGGTAACAGCTCTGACACAACACAACGACCGATGACCTAAATACACCAAGACCTCTCATCTTGAGCAACGACTGATTGTGTAAACAAACCGATGATAAAACATTTTCAAAACCCCCGTAATTACGCAGCAAATAACCCCATAACGCTATCCACCATTACGTAATATTCTACATTTGCAAGATCAGTAGTGTTTAACTTTACAATACCGTTGCACCAATGATCCCACTGCTCGATAAAGCCCCGAACAGCAAAAAACGGTGGATGAACCCCATTTTCTGCATTTTCCCCTTGCAAAGTTCAGTCAGTTGTGGTGTCGCACTCACAGAGAATCGTTCTTTTGAGTCGATTCTTTTCAATAAATCAGATGAACCGCTTCGCCAAACAATTCATTTTAAAGTGATTCTAGAGTAAACTTTAACTCGACTTCAGATAGAAATAGCTGCCTGTTTTTTTTATTGTTTTTAGCTAAGGCATACTAATATGATAATGTAACCCACTCAAATTTTTGAGTGTTAAATATTGTTTTATTTTGACATGTAATTAAGAGTTTCTTAATTAATTTTTTTTATTTGTCAGAATATATGTATTTATGTTTTATTTTCTTACCTTACCTAATGCACAACAATTGGGCATTTAAAAAAAATTTATAGATGTATAAATTTACATTCAGAAGTTAATTTCTAAAAACCGGAATTGAGGTCAAGGGTGACTGACGTCACTTGTACGCCAGCTTGTGGTGAAGACAGGAGAGACACGTTTTGGCTGTCTTCTAATTTAATCCATCCTGCCAATTCTGCATAAAATTAATGTCCCAAATTGTTTTGCTGCATTAGGTAAGTTATATACATTCGGATTTCCTGCATATTTATTTTACTTTTCGATTTGTTTAGCTATATTGTATAGATGATGCATACTGTTCATGGATCGCTGTAAATGTACAAGTTTACCGTGTTCAATGTGTTTTACTCTGTTTTATATGTATATATTTTGAACATATTGTGAACTATTTTGTGAAAATGCTCTTAGTTGAAGTTAGCAATGTTATGTGAAGTTGTGAAGTTATATGAAGAGGGTGACTGACGTCACTTGTACGCCAGCTTGTGGTGAAGACAGGAGAGACACGTTTTGGCTGTCTTCTAATTTAATCCATCCTGCCAATTCTGCATAAAATTAATGTCCCAAATTGTTTTGCTGCATTAGCTAACTGACACTGGACTGTTCCATCGCGCCGCGGCCGCATTGGACTCGTGCAGGCAAGGGGAGTGGCTCGTTACATTCACTCCGTGAGGATTTCTCCCAATTTGGATGGACGCATGTCATCACTCAATCGTCAAGGATTTTCGTAGGAAACACATACACTGATTCACAGTCATTGAACTACGTTTTACATTACATTCAGGACTTTGAAGTTTCATATATATAAATATATGTTGAAATTGGGACGTTTAGACAACTGAAACTGTATTTTCCTACTTCTGTATAGTTTTATTTTTTTTTCAAAAAGGGCTGAATTGCTGTCAACATATTGTATTTTATTTATTTAATTTTGTTTGTTTTGAATACATGAGTATGTTTTTATAAGGGCTGAAAAGCAGTTCAGATACAGACCAGAAAATTTGCAATACAGCAAACTCAAAAGTATTTTCTTGTGTTTGGGTTTTTTTATTTTTTTTTATTTGAGCAGTTGGAGATTATAGTATTAATAATATGTAAAATTTGACCACACCATTCAATAATATATTGTGTCGTTAAGTTGAGATATCCCGAACCCGAGATTTCAAGTAAATTGTGTTGAAATTTCATATATACTTTAGAAAGCTCAGACCCAGTAGATAATTTTCCCCTTTTCAGTAAATCAATTTCATAGGTGGGTTACAGAAAAGAGAGAGAAAAATTTGGCGCCCAACGTGGATGGCATTGATTTTCTATTAATCTTAATCCTAACTGCTCTGGATTATTATTTTTTTTCATATTGAGTGATTTTTTTTCTCCACATTTAAAATGGATCTATGCAGGGAACATGATTTTGATCCTGAAAAGTCTGTACTGCTTACACGAGTAGATCCAGGCACAACTTTAAATGACGTCAGAAAAGCCTTTGGCCACATTGATGATGTGAAGAAAATCAAGTGGATAGGTGACAAATTCCCAGGGGAGTTGCTTTGTGAATTTCAGGAGGTCGCTACTCCATTTGTTGTTGAAGAGGAACAATTGAATGGTAGTGAGCAGTATGTATGGGGTGTTGTTCCACTGGATAGCAGACAGTTTAAAGATGTGCAACATCCACCTAGTATTTCAACACCAATCCAGAGTGGTTCAGTGCAGACTTTAGATGATATGGCTGACCAGTTGTTGGTGCAAATAGAGAATTTGGCCCAAATGCATTGCGTAAATTTAAGTGATTTGAGCCAACAGGTGGTGAATAAGCTTGCGCATAAGACTGATAATGTTGATCAAGGCCCTATCACTTCGACGCCTGCAGCAAAACTGTTTGTTGATGCTAGGCCACGTGTAATGTCCGCTGAAGCTTCAATGCCGGTTTCAAAAGTGTCATTTGCAAACCAAGACGATTCACCGCCTATAAAAAAGAACATTGGTAACGAAACTCCAGTAACTTTTACTATACCACAAGACGTACAGCGTGTGGTAGTGGAACATGTGGTGAAACATGATCCAGAATATCAGGGACATCACCTCTCGCCCCCCAAATTACGAGTGTTTTCTGGACATTGCCCCAAGCCTAATGGGGAAGTTGATTTCACCACATGGCAATTGTATGTTAAACAATTACTCCCAGACACTTCTCTGACAGAAAGGCATAAGCGACGACACATTCTGGATAGTCTCCTCCCTCCTGCTCTTACTGTTGCTCTTGGGGCTGGTACAAATGCACCACCAGAAGTGTATGTGCTAGAGCTTGAGAAAGCTTATGGAAGTGTCACTGGTGGTGATGAGTTGTATATTCAGTTCATAGAGACACACCAGAACAGGGGTGAAAAGCCATCTGATTATTTGAGACGACTTCATGCATTGCTGCTTGAGGTGATTGAAAAGAAGGGAGTGATTGGCAAACAATCTGACACTTTACTTCTCAAACAGTTCATTAGAGGGTGCTGGGATGAAGCCCTTATAACCCAGTTGCGTCTTAAGGAGTTGTTAACAGAACAATCACCATCTGAATTGAGTTATTCGAGCATACTCTTCAAACTAAGGTCATACGAACATGAAAAGCAGCTCAAGGAGAACCGTATGAATCTGCATTTGAATGCGCCTCCAAAAAGAGCTCAGAGTCACGTGCATGTTGCCGTAAACCAAGGAAGTATAGCTAGTTCGGAGGGGGTACAAAATAATGAGGTGTTGATGAGACGCATAAAAGAGCTTGAAGCTGAGGTAGTTAAAGCTAAAAACCAGACGTCTGCTACTGTGAACCAACAGGGGTTTGATCAACTTCAGGCTAGTGCAACTAAGAAAAGAGGTAAAGAAGTGAAGCTCTCACGTCCTGTAGCACAAACACAACCTAAGCAATTGCCTATCAGTGGATTTTGTTACTGCTGTGGTGAGGACTCTCATTATTTACAACACTGCACCAATCCTGTGAATGCTGCTTTGGTACAGCAAAAATTAGTGCAGAGGCATGAACAGAGGGGTTCTCCCAACAAAATGATGATGCCCACAACACATTTAAACTTGGCATAGCTTCTGTTGTGGAACGGACAGAAGCTGAGTTGGAGAAAAGTTCCACAGAAATAAGTAACCACGTTCCAGAGGGTCTAATTGGTGAACCATGGGAAAGTGAAGCATGGTTGGATGGAGTTCAGTGTCTTTGTTTAGTAGATACAGGATCCCAGGTGACCTGTGTAGCTGAATCATTCTACAAGCAGTACTTGCGGCATCGAAACCTTTCTCCCATAGGGAATCTACTTAGAGTTGAGGGAGCTGCTGGACAAATAGTTCCGTACATTGGGTACATTGAAATAGACATACAGTTTCCAGAATCTGCTTGTGGAACAGATGCCGTTGTTACAGCATTAGCATTGGTTTGCCCTGATCAGGTTTATAATGCACGAATGCCCTTGCTAGTGGGGACAAATGTACTCCGCTATCTTGTTCGAGATTTTAGGATGTCACAGGGAAAGGAGTACCTACAGAACATGTCTGCCAGTGTCAATTGGATGACTGCTTATCACCAGTGTGACAAAGTATTGACACCCGGCAAACAGCCACAATATTCTACTCCAGTTAGACTGTCTGGTAGAAAGTCTGTAACAATCAGTAAAGAGGAAAAGTGTGAAGTAACAGGAGTATATAGATTGAAGGAATTTGGTTTGAACAAGACAATGATTATTGACGAGCCTTTGACGCATCAAATTCCTGGTGGTTTGGTGGTTGAGTGCAAATTGATACAAGCAAAGCTCAGTGCTCGGAATAAAGTTAAAGTAGTCATTCGTAATGTTTCAGATCACAGTGTGACTTTACAGCCAAAGGGAGTGCTAGCTGAGTGTTCAGTGGTAGACTGGATTAAATCTGTGCCCCTTTTTGATGGTACAGGCAATTCACAAGCCAAGACACCCCTGATGGCAAATATCTTAGTGAAGACAGAAGATCCTGTTACTGTGGATTTTGGGGATTCTCCTATATCTGAGGAGTTAAAAGCTCACATCATGGGGAGAATAAACAGAGAAGTGTCAAGTGCATTTGCGAAACATGATCTTGATGTAGGGCATGTTTCGGGTGCAACCCACCGAATAGAGTTGATGGAACATGTTCCTTTCAAAGAGCGTACTCGTCGAGTCTCACCTGCTGACTTTGATGATTTGAAGAAGCATTTGCTAGATTTGCTAGCTAGTGAGATTATAGAGGAATCAAACAGTCCTTATGCTTCCCCAGTTGTACTGGTGAGAAAGAAAAATGGAGATTTAAGAATGGTGGTTGACTATCGCAAGCTAAATAAACTGACAAAAAGAGATGCGTATCCTCTCCCAAGGATCGAGGAGACGTTTACTTTGTTGTCAGGCTCAAAGTGGTTCTCGGTTTTAGATTTAAAGAGTGGATACTACCAGTTGGAGGTAGAGGAAAGTGACCGTCCCAAAACAGCATTCACTACGCCATTTGGTAACTGGCAGTTCAGGCGATTACCACAAGGGCTGACAAATTCTCCTGCAATGTTTCAAAGGACTATGGAGAAAGTCATGGCAGGTTTAAATTTGCAGGAAGTTATTGCTTTTCTCGATGACTTAATAATTTTTTCAGATACACTGGAACAGCATGAAGAACGGCTCATGAAAGTCCTTCAGCGGATTGCAACTTTTGGATTAAAGTTGGCACCTTCCAAGTGTAAA